TTGATAATAACAACGAATGAATGGTCGACTGAGAAAGCCTAACCGATTGCGTACGAGTTGGCTTGAGTATATTAGATCTAGGCATTGAACGCCATCTATTAATATGATTCGCGATTGCTGCATTCTTTGCACAATGAGTCTCTATCATTAAACAAAGAAAAGTATTTATTTAAAAACTTATGCGTTAAAAGAGTTATTACTATATAATATCTTTATTATTACTTAAATTTCCATTTGCATAACGCTGAATGATGTGTCGAGAAAAGCAGGTTTGAAATGTTTTAGAAATAAAGATTTGATTTATTTTTAATTCATAAAGACAAAAATTGTACCTTTCATAATAATCGATAAAACACATTTTTAGATAATTTTGTTGTTTCTTTTCATTTTATTATGGTAAACGTTTATGCACGTTTAAAGAGTCATCCAAGTAATACCTCGGGCAATTTTATTTATCGTTTTCACCTCTCTGTACTTGGAATAATTAGATGTCAACTTTCATGAGCTCCTTCCCCACTTGATAATGTACTCGTATCAATATTTTTATCATAATACAAAATTATTTTAATAGTGAACGAATACGAAATCTTATTGTAGTTGATCTATCACAGCTTTTTTTTAAAGAATTTCAATACTTGTGCATAAAGTCACTTGATCAATTGATTTAAAAAACAAAAAATAATCTTGTTGATTTGCTCTGTGATATTAATGTATTAGTATTTTGATTTATTGCGCTACAATAAAATCAAAAAGATTTCACCATCGTCTTGTGATTCTTACCCTTCCCTGAATCATTAATTGTCATTATTGCCTGACAACCTCGTCTAAACTTGATGACTTAATATTTGAATGATCCCGGAAATATGCATGATATTAAAAAATGAAATTACCTTTAGTTGTTCCGTCTGTCTCCATTAATCATTTTAATTGATTTTAGGCAGACAATCTTCCTCGTGATTTAATAGCTGTACAAAATGAAAATGAACATTTACGAAATCAACTCAATCAAGCACAAATTGCCCTTGCTGCATCACGTATTGCTCTTGCTGCATCACGTATTGGTAGATTTTGTGATCGACTAGAATATAAGAGAAAAATAGATGAAGTAGGAAATAAAACATAATAAATATACGAATACGTAGATATATATTTTTTTTTAATTTTAAGTTAGAACAAAAACTAGAACAACAGCAAGAGATAATCAACAATCTAATTACAGTTAATCTACTCACAGTATCTGTAAATATACATGCGAGATCTTTTTATTAAATATATTTTTTCCGTTTGCTTTTAGTTGTTACCTTTTTTCGTCATTTTTGGTATAAAATATTTTCATACTTCAAACTAATATATTTGGTATAAATTCGTCGTATGACTGAAACACGAATTTGTTTTATCAATTGATTCAAATTTATTTTCAACGACTAGTAAGAATAAATTTACTTGAACAATGCTT